CCAAGCTCCTCTGCCATCATACAGTGAGTGCGTTACAGGGGGATTTTGCAGCTCTTGTTGCCTTCAGTATGCAAAATAAGCAATGCAAATGTGCTCTGGTAGCGAAGGGCTCAAATGGCTCACGCAGAAATTTGCTTGTACAAGTCTCCTGCCAAATTTGACAGCAACCCAGTATGGGTCCTTCACTTCTGACTTCATTTTCCCCCTTTCTTAAAGCAGTAATAAAGGTGATGCCTTCACAAGGTCTTTTTGAAAACTCCATAAAGTTTTTCTGATGTTACAATGTTTGCATGTGCCCTGATCCAATATATCGCACTCTATTGTAGTGCCCATTCCCATTACCAAACCGAGCCTCATCTTACAGTTAATCTCCAGTTACTGCTGTTTGTAATTAAAACTGGTTGCTCTAAAAATACGTGGCAGGTACAAATACTAAATATGTCCCTAAAGGAGTAAATCAGCACTGCAATAATGATACGAGAAAGAATAGAAAATGCGCTGGAAGAATTTTAGTATTTATAGGAACTACTTGCTGCTAATTTTTCCTTACCCTTGGACTGCAATCAGGATGTATACGTGCTCAGAGGGCCAGGACAACCTGTTTTGTTTTGCAAACTACTTCAGTTCAGATCGAAACATTAAAAAAAGGCAAGTGGGAATGTTCACCTTGGGGGTGAAGGGGTGGAGAAATCAGGCTGAGTTTGAAATTCAATTTTGTGGAAAATGCAATGCTTCCACTCCAAATAGGACTTAGATAGGACGGTGATTCATCCCCCATTGAAGTCAATGCCAGAGTTGCTTTTGATTTAATCAGAATCAAACCCTATGGGATTATTCTCACTTGCAAGCTGGACTGGTCCTATTAAGTAGAGAAACCACAGTGCTTTTGCAGGGCTGCTTTTTTTTGCTTTTTTTTTCTTTTTTTTTTTATTTATTTAATGAAATTGGCTCAGTGTCACAAAACTGAGAGGAAACCCGAAACCCTTCTGTTTCAGTGCTTTTTGAATGTTCTTGGAACATCTGGCACAGCTGTTATTTTGACCCCAAGGCAGGAGTACAACCTCACTCCTGTTCCTATTCCAATTGAAGCTGACATCAAATATGCCAACACGAATGGGGCTGCGCAGCCCAAACTGAGCTGTCAGCTCCCTCTCGGAAGAAATGGGAGCTCCGGGCTGGGGCGAGCAACCAGAGCGATCCCGTTGTCACAGTCAGAGCTGTCAAACCTATGCAAAAAAAGACAGGAATGAGGTAAAGCAGTGGGCACTGTTTCTGGAGCTCCGCTAAGGAAGAGGCTACTTCTGTTTTTCTTTAAATTGCTTCCTTATTGACTTTCAAATTTAGCCACCCATAAACCTGAATGAATGCCCACAGGACGAGGGTTTTTTGCACCTCCACTTAAATGAGATTTGTGGAATTGGTTCATCCAAACGGAACTTCCGTACGTGGACGTATCTTTGAATCTGTTCGAGCTGCGTTTCCTTGCCTGGCACCAGAGAGATGAGAGTATTTTCCCCTCAGAAAAGATCACGGGGATAGCTGAGTGAGAATCCAGCATGCTCAAGATCCAGAAGAGGCTATCTTGTCTCTGATCAGTAATACCTGAAATCTAAATCTTTCTGCTTATTCTAAGCTGCAGGAACTTGTAAATCTTCCTTCTCCATGCACCTTCCTGATTTCCTTTCAGCTCTAAGACTTAATACTACTGCTTATACTTTCATCCCTTAAATGCTCAGAGCCTTAAATTTTCTCTGGTATACAGGATAATCAGTTCTCTAGTGTGTTAATCCTCATTATGTGCCTATTAAAATGAAGATTAAATCAAGCATTAGGGTGCCTCCTCCCATTATGAAATCTGAAAAAACAGGATTTAATTTGGAGGGGGGGTAGGAAAACAGCCAAACACCTAAAAAATTGGTTCTTAGGCTTCACTGGGAAGCAGTAAAAGCAAGACTCCGCTGAAGTCTGAGGTATGAACGCATGATTTTATTAATGTAATTGTGCAAGTGAGGGGAAGATAAGGAATGCAGCGCACAAGGAATAAGGTTTTAGGCACTGAGAGGGTATTTGCGTGTGCCTACGTGAGGTGTAGTGTGTTTGTACACGGGTTCAGTGTTGCGCACACGTGCTTTGGCAGGGAGGAGGCGATGCCTCCCATCTACACGCCCGCAGGTACGTCCTCCTGGCTTTCTGGGGGGCTGAGGTCAGGTGCAGAGCTGACCCGCTGCGTGAAGGCTCGGCGCCAGCCCCCGTTGTACGTGCCGTACGAAAATGCCCCTTCCCTTCTTCCAAGCTGCTGTAGCCCTGGGATAACTGCTAAACGGATGGGAAAATATCTTTTCTTAAAGGGCAGGTGATTTTTTTTGGGGTGGGGGAAGATTTAGGACTGCCCTGTCATTTCCTTGAGCTCAATTATCCATAGGAAGTCCCCCCCTCCCTTTCCCAAAGATTAACTTTTTGGTTATTGTTGTTTGGCAGGTACTTTTAATTGGCTGGAAAATATTCTTCCTGTGAAGTTGCAGTTTTCTGGGGCTTGAATGAGTCCAGTCTGCCATTGGCTCTGCCCAGCGCCTCCGGATTGGCTCTGCAGCCCGCGGGGGGACCGATAAGGGCGGCTATAAAAGCCCTCGGCGCTGCTCCTGGTCCCCCAGCGAGCAGGAGACGGAGGGGCCAGGCAGAGCCGGGCTGCGGCACGTCCCCGAGCCTCGGCAGACTCCTTTCTCTCTCCCTGGGAGCGCGTATCCAGATCCACATCTTTGCTCAAGCCGAAGTGGAAGAGGAGAGACACACACACACATACACCAAAAAAAAAAAAAAAAAAACCACCCAAAAAACCACACTTAGCGGAAACTTGTCAGAGAATGCTCCTAAAGTCTGGTTTTCTCCTGCTGCTGGTGATCAGTGCATCTGCATCCTATGAAGCTGAACAGAATGACTCTGTGAGCCCCAGGAAACCCAGGGTTGCAGCCCAGAACTCAGGTAACACCCAGCAAAGAGGGCTTTGAGCCTGAATGAACCCTGATGTGTTAAACTGTTTCAGATATCTCTACTGATGTTTTTTCTCTTTTTTTTTTTTTTCCTTATAAACTTAATGGCTGGTTTAAAGGAGCAAATATTAATTTAAGGGTCTGATTCAGGAGGATATTGGTGCATAGCTGGAGAAGAAATCTTCTCCTTTCAGGAGCTGGGTCAGGGAACCGGTGTGTGATCTGCTAGCAGGATGCAATCCGTTCTCTCTCCTCCTCCCCCATCTACTAAATGAGTTCCATGTACTTTTTTTTTTCCGCCTGCTTGCATGCATCTTTCTCTCTTCTCCAATTGCAATCATGCTTTGGTGTTAAATTCCTTGCTTTTTAGGAAGTTGATAAAATGCGTGGAAATTTGACTGAACCATTGTTCTGCTAAAACATCTGTCTGTTCAAAGAGGGGGAGAGAAAGATAGGCGACTTTGAAGAATGCAGTAACCTAGAAACTGTCCACTGCTAGCATTTATTTTCAAAAACTGATTGCTATCAGTTAGATGGTACCACAAAAATATGACTGTGACATTTAGCAAACTTGCTTTTACAATGGATAAAAAAATTGCTGGCAAGTCAGCTCTGGATGTCTCTACTTTGTGCACTATAGATGCTTAGATAAGTTGGACACATTGTCTTGAACAATGGAAATTAAAAATCTGTCTTCTAGTATACTGAGAAGATATTAGGTCTCTAATTTGGAGCTCATTAACAGATGTCTTATTTTAGATCTGCAAGGCTCTGCAGCATTATACTAGGGTGTTTGCTCAATTTCCTTTTGTATTTGGTTGCTATAGAAACATAGGGTCTCACTATTGCACCGTGCCTAAAACAATAAAAGCTTAATGCATACTAAGTCTGCTGAAAGCAAAGTTATAATTTGAACCTGTGGAAACATAATTATGGGAATGACTTGTGCGATGGTGAGGTTACGAACTGGGGAGAGGATGATCTTACCAAATATTTCTCCCTTCAGGCACGCAAGCAAGAGCGGAGAACGAGGAGGGGTTAATTGGGTGATTTTTTCTTATTTTTTAAATTATTTTTTCTCCTCTTTTCTGTAAAGATCCTAGTTATATAGATACATCTTTAGGCTACGACTTAGCTCTTATTAAGGTGTGTTCTCTTCCACTAAATGCAAATCCTCACTTTTTCCCACACCTAGGATCTTGATGGGAGACACTGGGTTTGCATTTCTTCCTAAAGAATGTCTCGTAACATGATCTGCAAAAGTAATGAATATGCCTTGCACAGACACATAAGGGGACAGATGTTCAGCTTACCAAAAAAGGTTAATCCCTACTAATTTCAGGGCAATCATGTGGCAATACTGCTGATTCATTGTTAAAATGCATAGTATCTGCACTAAAAAAGATGGGATGACATGGATACCCTCCTGTTCAGCCTAACTACTGCCTCAACGATTTTAATTATACATGGTCAGCTCCATTACCTTAACTTTCTCTGCCCAGATGTCCCTTCTCTTTGCGAATCTTCAGCAATATGACCTTTCTTGGCTATGCTTGCAAACTGCTGGGTACCAGGTTAGTATTAGCACCAAGCTGCTTGTTCAAGTCCTTTGTAATACTGATAATTGACATGCAAACTAGAATCTTATTTCTAGATACTTTAGGCTTTTTTAGAAAAAATAGAATAGAACAGACTATTTCAGTTGGAAGGGACCTACACGATCACATAGTGCAACTGCCTGACCGATTCAGAGCTGACCAAGCTAAAGCATGTTAAGCACAAATACCTCCAATGCTAGCAAAACCAGCGCTTCCTCGCAGCAAGTGCAGATTTCCTGCCAGCTTATTGGCAATCGCCATCACTTCGGTCTCATTTCCAAATGAGGTCTGTGAGCCAGATGCTGCCAAACTGCTCTGACCTCCCTTTGTTTAAGACCATGGAGGACACCTCACTACCCAGTGCTCTTCATGGCCTCACCCTCATTACTTCTGCCTTCTTTAGAGGGACGCTGAATAAAGCTGTAAATGCATGCACTCAGAATTAGCTTGGGCTGGACCTAGTTCGTCTAGTCTCCATCTAGCCAAAGAGTATCAGGTGTTGCCTCTCTTTTAATCCATACGCAACCGATTGAAGGTATTGGTGGTTGCTGTTTCTGTTCCTTGATTTGTTGGCGGTCTGCTGCATGCCTTCAGTTAATAACTCCCTTTGGTAGTGCCTTTGGCTTCTCTTCATGACCTCTCCCTGCAGTCCCAAAAAGCAATAAGGCTACCGCTTGACTGCAGTTGAGCATGACTTGCCGTTGCGCTGGCGAAGGGCTTTACGGCGTCGAGCACTGGGGAGCGCTGCATATGTAATGTCGTGCCTGTGCCTCTCTCTGCAGCCGAGGTGGTTCGCTGTCTGAACAGTGCCCTCCAGGTGGGCTGCGGGGCCTTCGCCTGCCTGGAGAACTCCACGTGCGACACTGATGGCATGTACGACATCTGCAAGTCCTTCCTGTACAGTGCTGCTAAATTTGACACTCAGGTACAGTATGAGTATAAAGGGGACAAGAATAATACCTCGCCGTTAGAGCTCCCTTTTCATGCCCTGATTCAATAAAGTGCTTTTGCAAGTCCTGCGACACTAAAGCATATGCTTAAATGCTTTGCTGATGCCTTAATTTCTCTGTCCTCATGGAGATGGGGTCTGTGCAGCCTTAACCCTTCCTTTCTTGCAGCCCTGCCTGCTGCTTCGCTACGCCTCTGAACCATGATTTTGGTTTTTGGCTACACATGCATCCTTCAAGGCTATTTTCTACAGTACATTTTCCACATACTGTATGCTATGTGTGAGGACTTGGCAAGGAGTGTTTTGTGGGGCGGCGAGCTAAGTTTCCTCTTCAGGAGGAAATATAAACGTTCTTCTAACAAAGTAAGTCTTCTGACTGTGTGACCTGGCACAGGCCTGGGATTTGAATTGGAAGTCTCTGGGCCTGGGAATGCACGGCCAGATCAGCTGCTCCAGAGCTGCAGTTGCTTGCAGCAGAATAAATAGGATAATATCAGAGGACTGTGGCTCTGCCGAGGGCTCTTTTCCTTCGTACTTTCTTCCCAAAATGTGCACACCCCCTCATTCCCTGTGCTCTTGCTCCCAAGGACAAACTTAAAAGCTCTTAAAGCATCTTGAGGTCTGGTGAACCAGATGCGTTAAATCGGTGGTATGCAGCGAGCGGTCCGGCCCCCTTCTGGAGGGCAGAATTGGCCCATCTCTGGTGCTGGCACTTCTAGGTCTGTTCACGCAAAGACTTTCATTGCCTAAATCTTTTGGAAACAGGAGCTTGCCGTGCTCTCTGGACGGTGTGCATCCCAACTGAAACTGCTGTGACTAGAACTATGCAATAATTGTGAGCATTTAGGGTCCATTTCCTTGCCGTGCTTGGTAAGGGACCTCCAGCAGATCTGTAATTGCAGCAAGGGTAATTAATAGCAGCCAGCCACAGTGCAGTATCTGTTAATACATCCCTTTTTATGAAATCTGTTGCAGTTTTAAGGTTTTTCTTCTGTTTCCAGGGAAAAGCTTTTGTGAAAGAAAGCTTGAAATGCATTGCAAATGGGGTGACGTCCAAGGTGTTCCTTGCCATCCGGAGGTGCTCCACGTTCCAAAGAATGATCTCCGAAGTGCAGGAGGAGTGCTACAGCAAACTGGACATGTGCGGCATTGCAAAACGAAATCCTGAAGCCATCACAGAGGTCGTCCAGCTTCCAAATCAGTTCTCAAACCGGTATGTGGCGCTTTCCTCAGCTGAAGTGCATCAAATGCAAAAATGGGAAGCACAGAGAAAGAAATGAGAGGAACAAAGCTGACTAACTTCTTACAAGCCCTTATACAGCTTAGCCTAAATATTGTTCTCTGCCTTTTCAAATCCTTGTTAAGTTTTACCAGCATTCTTCTGATCCTCTGTTTGGTAAATACACTTATAAACATCTCCAGGGGAGAATCATAAAATTAACTAGACATACATTGCTTAAAAGCCTGGAGTTTGTTTAAATATCAGTTCTTTTCATTTGAATGCAGTATAATAGTAAGCAGAGCTGTTAAATACCAAACCAGTTTGATTAATATAGCATCTCTGGCATATTGAGCACTTAAGAGCTTCTCAACCTTCATTGACTTCTTCATACTGCAGTCACCCCTTTTTTTGACTTTATATAGCACCTAGCAAATGAGGACTTGCCCTCTGACTTACCATGGCAATATGAAGAACGAGGAAAGCTTAAAGGGAACCGGGCTCCTCTGTAACCTTACTCTGCCATGATCCCGTAGTTCATGCTTCTAGGGATAGCCTGGTGTTCTTAATGGTCTCTTTTAGGGTTGTCTTCACCCCTGTTCCTTCTTGATAGCAAAGGCTGCCGGCAGAAACGGGCAGGTCACGCTGCTCTCTGGCTCCTTGGAGCACAGAACTGCCCTGTCCCCATCCTCCAAGGACAAGGGACAGGGAGGTACTGCAGTCTGCGCAGTCACGCTGCAAGGGCAGGGATTTCTTCCTCTAAGTCCTGGAACAATCAGTGCTGAGTCTTGTGATTGGGATAAAAGGGATCTTTTTGAACACTTTGAGTAAATATACTCTAGAATTTGAGTGCAAACAGACCAAGCTGCAATTTAACATGTAGGCTGGCTGTGGCAAATGCTACAGCTCCTCTGGCGTGGCTGTTGGACTTGATCTAGAAGCATGTTAAGCCTCCAGACCTATCCTAGGATGGGTATGCCAGTGATATATAGGTGTTGCATCTCTGACCAGCATAAATTTATTACAGAAAACTCTATTGTAGATACTATATCCAGAAAACTGTACTTGTGGGAAGGCAAAAATTGTGTGTATTATTTCCCCTCTTCCCCCAAGCAAATTTGGAAGAGGTTTCCGCCGAGGCCTGGGATGAGGAGCAGGCAGCACGGTCTCTCACAGGCTGAAAGAGGGTTCAGGTTTATACGGTGGATTGTAGAGTCAAACAGCCCTTGGCAGGGCTGTAGCGGCATTGGGGTGAAGGGGGGACGTGTGGACACTTGAGCGAGGGAGGGTGCAGCGATAGCAGCAGCGGTCTTACACGTGCTGGGGATGTTCCTCTCCAGAGGAGTGGGCCTGAACCGGAGCCGCTCTCTCCCGAGGCAGAGGGGACTCCTCCCCCACAGCCGCCAACCCTTCTCGAAGCCAAAGGATATTATGACATGTTGAGTAACAAAAGCAGCAGGATTTCCCAGCTAATAGTTTACATTGAGGTCTCCTAAAGCATCCTGCTTTCCCAGCCCCTGTCCCAACATAGCCACAGAATAAGAATGTGCCGCTTGGCCTGGGACACTGAAAGGAAGTAGTTAAAGGTCATAGCATCTTCCTGTGATTTAATGGCATGGCAGGAGCAGGAGGAGAGGAAACCTTGTCTTCGCTTGCAGTCTGGCTGCCGAAAGGCACTAGCGAGCTGTTTGATTGCAGCTCCAGCTATGGAAACCACCGAGCTGTATTTGTACGAAGGAGGTGTAGGCAGCGCAGCAGAGGAAGGCGGCTAGGATCTGTTCCTCCTGTCCTGTTAGACTGGGACCAGTTTAACCTGGATGCATGGCTCGCACAGATGTATTCATCATCAGCTGCTGCGCACGCTTCAGACCTTAATATTAGCACTGCTGAGCTGTGCTTGCACTGTGCTCCACCGTGCCAAAGCTTGGTCCTTTTGTACTTCAAGTGCAGCAGAAACTTTAACCTCACCTGACCTCCGCTGGCTGCTCTAAAGGCCAGAGCTGAGAGTTAGGAAAGGAGTTTGAATGTGAACTCTCATTTCCCTCTTCCTTCCCCTCCTCCACCTGCAGGTTATTCTCTTCTCTGCTCCTATGGAAAAATGTCACGGTGACCTTAAAGGCTTAAAATAAGTTCCCTGTCGCCCTTTCAGGCCGAAGTAGCCCAGCAAATACGGGACTGCTCCCCCTTTTCCCAACTTTCTCTCCTTAGGAAGATGCTCTCGTGTACAGCGAGGTCCCACTTGCCAGCTTCGCTCTCCCTGCCCAAGCCAGCCGTGCACACAGGGTTGTGCTGATTTCGTTCCTTTGAGCACTGTTCTCCGCTTGGCTCAAGCAGTGCTGGGGAAACAGATCAGCACAATTTCCTGGCTCCCTCCTTGAGCAAGGAACGCACGCTCAAGGCTGCTGGAAGGCAAAAATGCAGCAGCAGGCTGTAGAGGAGGCAGGCATGCAACAGGCCAAAGCACAAGGTCCTCACTTGTGATTTAATGCGTGGAAGTGACAACTGATTGTGTGTCCCAAAGATCTGTCCCCAGGGAACACATGCATGTGTCAGGCTCTGACTTGGACTGAGCCTGCTTCTCTCTCCTCTGGCCCCGTGCTAAAGGCTGTGCGTGGAGAGGAGCAAAAGGGAATGGTGCCGCAAGGGTGGATGCATTTGTAGGAAGGGTCGTGCTGGCTCAGACCAGCGGTCGGTTTAGTCCGTTACCCTGTCTGGTGATAGGCAGCGTCTGTCTACTAGAAAGACGCAATTATTTTTCTTCCTAAAGCTCTAGAAACTCGGGGGGTTTAGCGGAGAGTAAAACAGACGCTTAAGCCAATGACTACATCAGCTTAGCTCCGCACTCTCGCCTTCTTCCCGATCCACCAGGGCAACACCATAATCGCTCGTGCTGATAGCCTTACCTTTCAGAGCTGGAGCAGCTGCTCATTTAGGACGACTAAATGAGAAGTTTGACGGGTTATGTTCCTTCCAAGGCATTTGTTAGATGTGGCGAGAATACGTACATTGTGCGCTGCCAAAAATAAATTTCAAACCCACCCTGAATGACTTAAAAATTCTGATTCTCATAGTTTTGTTGCTTGGACTGGTCTCCTGGCTTGAGATCAGCTCTTACCTTGTTTCTTTGGTCGTGCTGGGAGATGCCTTGGAGTAACAGGTGGTAACTCTCATGCAGGTATTACAACAAGCTGGTGAGAAGCTTACTGGAGTGTGATGAAGAGACTGTCAGCACCATCAAGGACAGCTTGATGGAGAAGATCGGACCCAACATGGCAAGCCTCTTCCACCTGCTGCAGACAGATCACTGCGCCCAAGGCCACCCGCGCGCGGACTTCGCCAGGAGACGCATCACCGAGCCGCAGAAGCTAAAACTCTACTTCAGGAACCTCCGAGGTGAGGGGTCTGTCCCGGCCCACGCAAAGCGCAGCTCCGCCGAAAGCGCGTAACGCCCCGGGGGAGCAGCAATGGGTGTGTAAGGGATGCTAAGCACTACCAAAGCTGAAGTCTCTCTTCTAGAAGAGTAATGCACCCAAACCAAGTGTACTGTAGCTAGTTTTAATAACAACTAGGAACTGGTTTTAGATTTAGTCATTAATATTTTCTATTCCTCTCGAACAAAACTTTTGCATGGATCTGTGTTCGGTGTCTCAGCTTTCCCGCCGTCAAAATGTCTCCATCTCTTTTCTTCCCCACAAAAAGATACCCCAAACAATCTTAGTCTTAACTATAACCGTACAGTAGTCAGGCCTTCAGACACAAGACTCTAAATGTACTGTAGCGCTACCACCATTGAAGTCTGAAGATTTGGCACCAAGGAGAATAGCTTATTCTCACTTGTACTAAGCTGGTAGGCGACGATAGATGCACTAATAACTATTGCACATCCTAAAGATGTCAATGGAATTCGTGTTATGAATCTGTGCTGGCCATGGACGAATATGAATGTCATATTCCTGGTCTCTTAGTGTCATACAGTCCTAATCCTTCCAATACAGCTCCGTTAACCCGTCGATTTACCAAACTCGCTAGCTGTGGATGAGTCTAGTTACCGTGACCTGGCACCACAGTGCAAAATGAGTTAAAACTATCCCCCCGACACACACCAAATCAGGAAAGGAACATTTTGTACTACGGAAATGATTAAAAGAGGTGCCAGTCTATGGTTGAAGCTAGTCAGAAGGTTACATAATCTTGCATTGTATTTAAAAGCTAACATCTATGTACTGTATTTAACTGTCTAAAGCTTTAAAAGAAATCTAACAAAAACAAACCCTGTCTTAAGACTAGAGTATTAAAGGTCTTGTTCTAACTGTGGTATAAATAGTTTTAAAATCTTGTCATGTACTGTACATAAATTCCACGAGAGTCTGCTTAAAAGGAGCAGAATATAATAACTTTATTGCATAAACTTAGTTTTGTAAGTTAGCTATTTCTTTTTTCCTGGAAACAGTATCTGTCATATTCAAGAGTTCACATTCTATTCTGTGGCCTTTTTATAATGGAAGAGAGAAAATGTTTAGGACAGAAATTACAGGGCCAGAAACAAGCCTCTCTTCTCATTGCTAAAATGGAGCGGGAGGGGGAGAAAAAAAGAAGAGTTCAGCCTGGCCAGTGCTATCTCCACAGAGCTGCTGCGAGACGTAGTTATACCCAAGGCACGAGTGCTGCTGGAGAGCTATTTGGGGAATTATCAGATGGCTGACAAAAAGCTGCTTTGGGATCTCATAGCTGCCGCAGGCTAAAACTTCCTTTAGAAAGCTGATTTCTGGGGGGAGGCAGGAAAAATCCTTCAGTTCTCTTAAGCCAGAAGTAAAGCGGTGTGCCTGCCTGTGAGAGGACACATGCATTAATGCTCTCAGACCTGCCTTTCTTCCCATCCGCTTCTTCAGCAGCCGCTGCCAGCGGGAGCGGAGCAGCCGGTCCCGCAGCAGTAGCCGGGGGCCTCCCCCAAACGCCGCTTTCTGCACAGTAGTCTGGCCGGCCTTCGGTGCGCCAAAAAAAGCCACGTCGTGGCATGCGATCAACGGGGCCAGTTCCACACTCCAAATCTATCCCGTTAGAGTCCATCTGCAGAGTGGATGACTCTAGCTCAACTAGTTAGAGAGCTAATAAAGGAGGGATCTATTTTTCTTTTCAAAATCTAAAGCAATATAACTTTTTTTTTTTAACCACAAAGCCTTTAAACAATAACTTGCTGCTAATATATTGAAACCAGATGCAGTGGCAGCATTTCTAATATTGCTGTCTTCATTAAATGTAGCCCAAAAGTGCTGTCATAAAATTGTAAGCAGCAAAAAATGTTGCTGACGGTAGAGGGTTGTTATTTTATTTTTTTTAATACTCTGAATCGTGCCGTCCAGGGCAAGCAAGATGCAATATTGCTTGTTCTTAAATCACAGTCAGGTATATAGAGTCCAACACAAGTTTTGCAAGGTGAAAACCAAAGGCCCCTTGAATATCCTGACCCTAAAAGTTTGACTTATGCTTAGGAACTGCTCCCAGCACTGTGCACGTGCGGCTTTCCACCCTACAGCATTACGCCTCACGCTGCACCGTTAGGAGACGGGGATTACTAAACAGGGCAGTCTGCTGGGATTTGCGCATCAAGTGCGTATTGCTGCTTGGGGAAATTGTTACAGAAGGGTCTTTACCTGGCTCGAGGCAGTGTCCAAACAAGCGCCTGGATGGCTGCACTGGTGCTCCGGAGCCCAGCCCTGGGCCATGCGAAGCAGCTCCCGTTTTGGGTACCCAAGGCCCCCATGGGCTCGCACCAGCGGAGCTCACTGAGGACATCTAGCAGGCACGATTTTCCATGGAGATGGAATGGCGAGTGGCTCCTCTGTTGCTTTGTGCATCCATTTTGGTGAAAACCTAAGGGTTTATGAAGTTGATTTGGGGCTGGGGAGGAGGGTTAGGTTACCCCAAACCCTCTCTTTTGGTTGTCATAATTAACTTTCTTTTTCTAGTAGGAATTAAATTTGTTGTCCCCTTAATATGCGTGGGAAGATGACTGGGAAAATAATTCCCCCCGATTCAATTTGCTCTGGTATCACAGACCTGTGATAAACCTGACCTGAGCAAACCAAAGCTCTGCCTCTCCGCACTGGCACTGCCCCGTGTCGGAGAGAGCCTCGACTACATCACGAGATTTTTGGGCTGCTTTAATACATCACTTTTTTTCCTATGCTGAAGTAGTAAGGAAGCCGCAAGCACACGTCCGTAAAATCAAAAGGCCTGGGGCTCACCTTGCCTAACTTTTGCCATCTAGCCCCAAGCTGGTCATTGAAAGCTCTCTCTTCTCAGGGGAGGGGGGCATGGAGATGGGAGAGGCGCTTCCCATCGACTGGGAAGGATGCCTGATTTTAGATGGTTTGAATTAGGTGAGAGAGATCCCCTTGGGGATGGGGAATGATTCTCAATATTAAGTCCAGCTATTTCACGTTTTATTTAATCTCTAATGCTTTATTTTTTTAATCTTGCATTCATGGCAAAATGATTTCTCTTGGGGGCGGGGAGGGGCTTATCTAGAAATGTTTGCATGATTCTCATTGTGATTTGTTTGCACTTTAGATGTTTTGTGCCATTATAAATTTGCATTATGTATTTATAATTTAAAGATACTTAGAAGGGGGAGAGAGTTTGGGTTTTTTTGTTGTTTTTTTGCTGAGTACTGGAATAAACAGTGAGCATATCTGGTATATGTCATTATTTATTGTTTAAATTACATTTTTAAAGCTCAGTGTGTTCATATAAAGGTTATTTGAAACATATCATAGTAATGAGAAAGATGCAAGTTATTTTCTTTGCTTATTTTTATAATTAAAGATGCATAACATAATGAGGCCTATGTTGGATTTTCTTCTGCAATGAAATAAAATGTCAAATTTAAGGGTTTTTAGTGTCTGACTCTTTCATTAAACCTTACTGTGACTGCTGACCATGATACTACCCAAGGAGCCAGTTGTCGCACCCACCTGCGACTGAGCGTCGTAGCTTTTACGTCTGTTCTGGATGCCGAATATCTCCGGTTCAGACCCTGCAGCGCAGGTGCTGCGAAGTTCATCTCGCAGAGTCTTCGCCTCTTGACACGGCTCAGCGGCGAGGCTGGAGAAAAATAGGAAGAAAGGGGTGAAAGCGGAGTAAATGGTGCCTGCAGAAGCCTTTCAGCGTCTAGACTTCCACGCTGAGTGTCGCTACAATAATCCTCTGGATTCGTTTGGTCTGACCAAAAACTCTGGTCCTTGGCCTCGCAGCGTCTGAGAGCAGCTGTAAATCCCAGCGCTAATAAAGCTCTTGTCCTGGTTCTCTTTGACAGTGGCCCAACCTTGTAAATTGTATCTTGTTTAGCCTGATGATAACAAAATTAAGGCAGAACCATTTTTTAATGAATGTATCCTTAACACCATTGCAGGAAAAAGAAAATACCTTGATTTTGACTTTGATGTACATGGAAATGTGCACTTACACTTCATTCAGGAAATCTTTAATTTCCAGTGGAAGATCAAAAAAAGTTTAATACTCATCAGAGGAAGACTGGCAGACTAATTCAGACTTATTGCTCCAAAAGCTACTGCAAAGTTTAAAAAAACCATTTCCCCCATCACGAGTAAGACTAGTCCAAGGGAACCGAAGAATAAATACTAGCAATACAGTTGGCTTAAAAAAAATCTCTTTTCCCTTCTTGTTTTGTCTAGCAACTTAGAAATTGCTTTCAAAGGGGGCTATTAAAACTTTGCTTGTGCCAAGATCCCTTTTTAGTCAAAAACTAAGTCCATAATAGGGTACAGTGACTTACCAAATTCAGAATTTATCATTCTTCGCAAACAAACAAGCTGCTGCTGGTGACGGCATTGACAGCTGATGAGCCAGAGCGCCGCTTATTTCACATTGCCACAAGCCCGGGCCGAGGCGCGAAGGAAATGGGACTTTCCTTGAGCTCCCGTTCACTGCGGCTAATTCGTAGGGGCTGGCAACCTGGGCACCGCTTTGGGACGTCTCCCCGAGCCGGGCTCAGGTGAGCTTCACTGTTCCAGCGGGAGTTGAGCTGATGTCTCGGAAGAAGGCAGAAAGGGCAACGACGTGCGTCATCCGAAGCGCTCGGCTGTGCTGCCGGTGCCCGTCGGTTTCTCATAAAACCCTCGCCCAAATGGAGAAGTTAAAAGCAAAGAGGATTATTAAGAAACGGCAACATCGCTGCCGTAAGGGAGCATCACATCAGTGAGGTTCGCTGGAAAGCCGGCTCCCGCCTGTGTGCACGTGCCCCCGAGCCATCAGACGCGCCCGAGGGCTTGGAGACGGATGTCGCCCGCTGACTTTTTCATTTGCTTTTCCATTAGTAGGAATCCCCAAACCACTTGCTGAACCCACTCCCCTGCCCGAACGTCATCGGCTGCTGAATAGCCCGTCCCGCATCCCACTTTTGAGGACCGGAGCCGGGGCAGCAAAG